CTTTATAAATTATTTCTCTACCTTTTTGAGATATAAATATTCTCCCAGCCTCTTGCCACTTTTATAGCCCAGAAATAAACTTCCTCACAGACTCAAGAGCTAGGACTTTTATATAGAATCATCAAAAGAGATAGTGCCCCAATCTGCTAGTCTTCTGTTGGGAGGAAAGGAATTTAACTTTGATAAATGCCACTCAGCCAGCTAAGGCCATTGACTAACCTCCCTCCTGACATCTAGTACTTTCCTACTAACTCATCTCAGCACTGAAAGGCTCTTTTGCCTTTTGTTTCAGCAGAATTGAGTTCAATCTCTCCCTTCTATTGCAAAAGTTGTGAACAAAGTCTTTCTTGCCCATTAAGTTGCCCAGTGCAATTTTTCTTTGACAACACTCACGGGAGTGTGAACACACATAGTGTTCAGTGACTTTAATGGTCAGTCACTACAATTGAGTCCCTTGGTAGTTTTCAGTGTGGATTTGACATTATGGGCAATTATGTTCCTTATACAGTAAGGAAGAGCCAGCAGAGCCACATGTTATGTTTATTTATAAACCACAGAAGGAAAGTCATTCTTGAGGGGAGGAAAAAAAACTCTCCCTGTGATTAAATGAAAACATTTCAGTCACTAAGCCGTCACATACAACTATGTTTCCTACCACACCTCATATTTTAATAATAAGTTTAGAAAGCAGTAGTCAGTTTTAGGTCAAAAAAATAGTATACTCTGGCTCATTATTGAAAGCATTCATTTAAGATTAAAAACATAAGACCCTTTATAGAAATTCTAAACTTGTCCCAAGATCTTAGCATTCAATTATCATTTCTGAAATCTGAAATCAACATATTTTATGTCTAAATTGAGAGTATATTTAAAAATCAAAATTCAAAGACATGCCTTCTAGTGGGCTGACTGATGGGAAAGGGCTGTGATTACGCCTAATTTTCACCCTCTACATCACGATCTCATTGATTATGTTTCTCAGCTTGCTAAGGGTTCTGTGAGGTGATTTTCAAGATGAATACTGCTATTTGCAGGATTTCCTGAATAGGAATATTTCGGGAGTAAATTGCACAAACCAAGCAATGTGCAGTCAATTTTCACTCCAGCATAAACAATGTATTAGAACACAGCTTTAAAGCTTTTTTTATTTGTGTTTCATTACACAGCTAGCTGCATTTCATCAATAAGCATGAAGTACCAAGCAGGCAAAACTGAAGCTCACAGAGGGTATTACATATTTTTCTAACAGGTGTGCTCAGAGTCTGACTAGAGAAAACAAACTCACCAAATGGCAAGGCATCAGACCCTTTGTTTCAGAGGTAGCCATCGCCAGACAGTTTCTTTACATTTAGGATTTTTAACTGAGGGCGTGGCTGCCTATATATATATATATATTTGTGTGTGTGTATGTGCATGTATATATATATTTATGTGTGCATATGTGTGTGTGTGTGTATATATATATATATATATACATACTTTTTTTGCTTTGACTTTTTCTTAAGATTTTATTAAAGGCAGTTTTTTCCTGCGTTAAAAAAGGGCATGTACTCAAAACTGTTTAAAAATTTTATTTTTGGTGTTCTGTTCAGTAGTTTAAAACTAAGTAAAGCAAACTCTAGTGTACCATCTTTCTTTAATATAAAAAATAGTTTAATTCCTTTAAGCAGAGGACTACAGCAGGCTGTAAATATTAATATCCCATATCTTAAATCAGAAAAACTGTGCAATCTTAATAAATCATTTATTAGTGACAAGAAATGGAAGCTAGAAAAAATGGGATAAAGAACTAGGTAAAGTATTAAATTATTCACACAGGTCACCATTTCCTAATTATAAGCTAGGAGTTTGAGAATTATTGGGAGAAACTCTCAAGTCATCAAATATACAATTTTATGTTTCCCCTCCCCCCACCTTGGACACAGTCACAAGAAGAAGAAAAAGGCTAAAAGAGTATTTTTGAAATCTGCACTCCAGAGATAAAAAAAACTCGGAATATGCTCAGAGGACTGAAGCCAAGGAGCTTTCTGCCAGGGAAAAAGCAGCTCTCTCTCCCCTCAGTGATTTAAAACAAGCTGCAGGAGGCAAATATCATGACTCTCAAAGTACACACAGCAGTGAGAATAGTGACTTGTAGCTTTGATAAAGAAAAGTGATTAACAGAGCCGAACATGGCTTTCACTTCAAACTGCAGAGATCCATTTGGCAGAAACCTATGGGCCATAGACAAAGACTCAGTGCAGGTTTTCAGTATTTGAAAACCATTTGGAGGGGCACAGACTAGGACTAAAGTCATTTTGGTTGAGTCAACAGGATCTATTAGTATCAAGGGATTTAAAAAAAATCTTTTCTTTTAAATGTATTACAAAAAGAGAGATAGCTAGCATTGACTATTTATTTTCATTATTTTAATAAAGAGGCACACTTTAAAGACTGCTTTTAAAAGAGTAGAATGTGCTTTTACATGTAAGCTACAAAAAGTTACTTCTGGTTGGGAGGAAAGATGTTATGGCCTTTCCTCTTTGCAATATTACATCAGTTAGTTTTTAAGAATATACTGCACATCAGATAATTGAGAATTTGGCTAAGGTGACTGTATATTGGGCCAAGTAATTGTGTACTTTCTCGTTGTGGTCGTTAACTGAGCAGTGAAAAATCAGCATTCATGAGATGTAGTTGTGCTGGTGAATAGGAGCTAGTCATAAAACCCTGAGTACATTATGTACTAGCTGAGTGGAAAAGTCTGGATCCTAGAACTGAAGGCTTCCCTGAAACTATGACATGTTTTGTACTCACCCAGTCTTGCCCCTTGTGACCATGTATGACTAAAATGCAGGGTGATGGAACATTAGAAGCCACATCTTGGTATCAAGACTTCCAGTGTGCCTTTAATGTGCGAGTTGTTTTAACCAATCCTGTATAATTTCTTAAAGCTAACTAAATTTGTTACTAGGTAAAGCCTACTGTGTTTCATAAATTTAATCATCATACTGAACCCAAGACTGTGCCACTGGCTAAGCAGGCAGAGTTTTGAGCTGGTAAAATGATATCTACCCATGACTTCAAAAATGCCATCTGCTCTAGGAAATGGTATCTATCAGATAGCTATCAGAATGGTAGACATAAGTGTTAGGAGGAAGTAAAGTAAACATAGTGGTGAACATTTTGCTAATCTAACTCATTTTAGTTGTAGCAGATTTCTCTGTATCCTTATTCTCACTCATGCCCATCTTCTGCAAACTTTTACTTTCTCTTCACTAGAATACTCTCAAACTTCGTTTTCCCTTTGCACACAGTTCTAGCAAATCAACAGCTAAATGGAAATTAAAAATTTCGGGTTTTACAATCCTGGAAAGCAAAGAAATTAAACAATTTGACTCAATTAAAAGAAAAACTACTCAAAAATGTTACATATTTTTTTTTACTCTGAAGTTGCCCAACAACAGGTTCATTAATAGATTGTAATTTCAATGATTTGGTTTATTTGATTTGCTAAAGATTTGGACCAAAAAGGAGATGCAAAATAGGGCAGCATATTGAAAGAGTCTTCAGAATAGATTCATTGAAAGGGAGAAAAGAGGGTCAATCAACATTTACAAGGACTCTAAAAGAAGGAGATAGTGGTGTTCAATCGGCAGGACTGTCTCAAGCCCTACGTTTACCAAGAGCATCTCATTAGTATTCTGGGTGTCTTGGTACCATCTTTATTCATTGACTTAAAAATGCTTACAAGTAACCTGAGTCATGGGCTGAGCATGTTTGATTTGAGTGGAAAAGCAGAGATTAATATGAGAATGCCCTCTTCACTCAAAGAACAGTGCAGATGTGTAATGAAATACTGAAGTGTGTAAAATTTAAGTGTAAATCAACATATAAACAATGGGAGATGAATAAAGGGGTTTATAAAAAATCCTAACAGGGATTCTAACTCTACTCGGGGTGTGGAAGAAAACTTGGAAAAGGCAATGACTTTGAATTCATTCTTAAAGAATGGAAGAAAATTCCTTATATCAAAATAAACTGAAAGAAGTCATTTAAAAAAGAGACAAAATCAAGAGCATAGGTATGACATGAAATTACATGGATAAGAAGGTACCAAGTGATTTGATGTGGCTAGAATATAAGGGGAGATTGTTGGCAGAATGAGAAGATAGAAAGGTAAACTGTAGTCAGTCTGAGAGAGCTTTACAATGTCTACAAAAGAGCCCAGACATCATGTTTTAGAAACCTAATCTCATAAACAACTTCAATTTTTCATAAGGAATCTATGAATATGTATTAAGCACAACTAAAACAGGGATAGAAAATGTATCATAGTGACAAATATGATGTGGACATTCTAGTGGTGAGTTTAATGAAGACCTTATTTCTAATAAATGCTGAGGATAAAGCAGCATGTTCTAGTAAAATAATAATTACTACTATGATCAGTATAACAACAATAATGATGATGACGATGACAATGATTTTCTGCTTGACTAAACTTTAGTCAGGCTTCTGAACCTTCACCTGGTCTCATCTTTGCACTTCCCTATAAAATCAAGTTTCAGCAAAGAAGCCTGTCAGTTTTGCAAGAATTCTTTATCCTTGATACCTGATCACCCTCAGTATTCTCCACCATTTCCCAGGGGGATGTCTGATAATCCTGGCCCATCTTCAGCAAGAATTATGTTAGGCTGGTTTAGCCAGAATCTCACTTATCCCTGACACTTCTTAATAATTTTCCATCTACTGACTCCTGCACTGCTCCTTAGCTATAAATTCCTACTGCCCTTGTGTTGTATTTGGAGTTCAGCCCAATCTCTCTCCACCCAACCTCCTATCATCCTCCATTGCAGTGGTCCCTGTGCCTATTGTGATGACCCTGAATAATGTCTTCCCTACCATGTTTTAACAAGTAATATTTTTTCTTTAGTAATGATAACAAATGATAAAATTCAGTAATACTGCATTTTATAAAAAAAAAAGAAAGAAAACTATTTAAAGAACAAAGTCCCTACCTTAATGTCAAATGGTCCTTCTTGGTTTGGTTGGTTATAAATTTCCAACTGATTCCTAATAGGAGACAACCACAGAAGCAGATGATTCAACTGGTCTTCAAAGGCTTCAAGCTTTTTTTCAAGCAGCCCAAGGTCTCTTATTTGAGCTTCAATTTCTCCTTGTTTCTCAGGTAAAGCTCTGGAAACCTGAAAGGAAAATACATTTTTAAAAAGGTGAATAATTCTCATGGTATAAGAAAAGAAAAGAAAAAAGTATTTTCAAAAGTTATTTATCATGAAATGTTACAGAATCTTGCTGATTGTGTTATTTAAGCAGCATAATATTGATTATTTACATATATTCCATGTTGGGATTTAACCAATATGTTAGAAATTATTCATTAACACTCTACAAAAATTCTTTGCTTTAAAGAAACTAATGCCTTTTTGGAATTTCAAAACACATACCTTACATACTTCAAAGCCAACTACAACTGATAAAATAAAGAAATACATCTTTAACTTATTCACTCACTAAATATACTGGTGTGTTGTGTATTATATGCCAGACACACTGTCTTTGCAGTTACAAAAACAAATAAGCCGAGTTGTTCAGCATTAGTACCAGATATATAACACAGGTCTTCTAAATCTCAAATGAGTGATTCGTATTCAATGTGCATCCTAAAATTAAAACCAAACCACACTATGATTTTGTTTGTAGAGCAATAATTTCTTCTACTTTACTTGCTTCTAGCTTTCTTTGATGTTATGGAAGATTGTAAAAGAAAATCCTTTTATGTACAAGGAAAATTGGTAAGTTATGCATTTTTGTGAGCTATAGTTTGTGAGTCCTAGTAAACAGAAACAGGCGATTGAGATGAGAAGTAAAAAGAACATTTGGATTAGACTATAACAGAATGATTATAGGTTATTTTTCTTAAGAGCTTAGTATATGCCAACCATCATCCTTGGAAATTTCAAGTTTACAGAATTCCTTAATCCATCCAACAATGCTATGACATAGATACTATTATGATCTCAATATCATACATGGATAATGATGTTGGGGTTGAAAAACATTAAATAGTTAGGAAGCAGTATAATGTGGTTTTAAACATTGTGAGGTCTAGATTTAGGCTACTTGATTTCAATTCTGGTTCTAGCTTTTGCCTCACATTTTAGCCAAGTTTTCTCTAACACTCAATGCTTCCTCTATAGATTGGGAACAATGATAACACCTGCTTCATAGGATTCCTGTTAGAACTCAATAAAGTCATCCCTGAACATACCTTAGAGCAATACTCTGCATGATAATGAATGACAAGAAAGTTATTAAATAGTAGTGATTATTGCTCAAATAATGTAAATAAAGGGCCAGGATAGGCTGGGCACTGTATAGCTCACGCCTGTAATCCCAGCAGTTTGGGAGGCTGAGGCAAGAGGATTGCTTGAGCCCAGGTGTTAGAGATGACACTGGGCAACACAGAAACATCCCTACAAAAAAAAGACCCAGAATAAACAAGAGTAAAGCTATTTTCTTCAGAATATCAAGAGTGAAAACCAGCAACACAGAACAAAGAATTTAAACTTGTAATGATAGCTCTTTCTGAGACTATTAATAATACCAGTGTAATAAAAAATACTATAATGCAATATGAATAAAATTTTATAATTTTGTTATATAAATACAATTATATTTATGCAATTTTATATAATAAAATTTTATAATTTTTATTATAAAATTTATTAACTTCTGTTCCATAATATTATGAATAATAATAGAGAAGATTTTAAAAATAAAGTAGAAAATATACAAGTGTATCACATAAACAATGTCACATGCTTTGGAATAATTGTTTTCAATACTTATTAAAGAAGTCACTAATGAGTACATTCTTCAATTGGATGCAAGAGTTATGAAAAAAAGAAAGTTGTGGACAAAAAAACAATGTATACAAAAATGATTTTTAAACATTATATGTAAACAATATGTGCATTGATACATCTTATAAATGCATGTACATATGTTGCAAAAAATGCATGAGAATGTATAAGTAAAGAATTAACATCCAGCCCGGGTTGTTGGAGTTCAGTCTGGGACTGTCCCTAGGCTCCCACAGAACTGTTTCCTTGGAAACACTAACTTTAAGATGAATGGGAAATGTTGGGCTTGGCTTTGTTGCATGGAACTGCACCTCATTGCAGGCACTGTTAGTTGGAATACCGTCTTTGGATCCAGGTGACTACAATCATGTAAACGATTGATGGGAAATACAGGTGGTGGCTCCTATCGAAGGTGAACTGCACACCTCTTGCCTCTCATTCCTGGCAGCCTTTCCCTGTGTGGGTGAGAGGGCAAAAGAAGCATACTGCTTCAGGTAGATTATCCATAAATCATGAACTGAGATACTGTTCTCCTGGCTTCATTTATATCCTGCAATAAAGCCATGTAAACATAGTATGAGATGAAGTAGACATGCCTATTTGTGTTTTGTGAGTTCACATCCATAACTACACCTGTGGTGCATCCTGTGGTGCTGAACTCCCTGTGTGTGTGAGTGTGTGTGTGTGTGTGTGTGTATGTGTGTATGTGAGAGATGTAGGTGCTGTTACAAATATAGTTCTATGTCTGTAATACATGATCTAATAATGTCCTCAACTTATTTTTCTAGCATTTTAAAGGAGGCAACTAAACATTTTATTTTTATTGGATCATTTTCTACTCACAAATAAATGCAAAAAGCATTTTACAGCTTCAACTTACAGCATCTAAAAGCCTCTAGACTATGAAGCTACTGAGATAATAGCCATTATATTTTCCTAAAACTTCTGAAACTGAGCGATGAACTCCTTTTTATCTGATCATGAATTTATTCACGTTTCATTTAGGCTTCACATAGAAGCACAGAAATCTGTACAACGTTTAACTAAGATTGCTGATTTCCTTATCATCCTCCCATACTATCCCTTCCTTGCAATAGAGGTAGAACAATTTCTGACAGAAAACAGTACAATGGGGAAGATTTGACTAATATCTGGAATAATGAAATAATAGCTTATCATGGGATGACATTTTCAGCTTAGTTATGATGTTGCTTTAGGTTTATCCTCTCAGACCTTGTGTTCCCCACCATCATAACATTTATGTCATACTATTTAACTTTTTATTTACATTGATTCTTTTCACTGACCTTTGATTTCTGTGTCAAACAAGCTCTGTTCCTAAATATGATAGACCTACAGCAAAAGTTTGTTAAAGACTATCCCCAAATTCAGGATTACTATTTTTCCAATGTAAGGAGCCATGTATGTATTGAGTAGTCAATAACATAAAAATGTAAATTGTATCCTCAAGTTAAACAACTTTAATTACTGATAAAAATATCAGTAAACTGGACAATATAAAAAAATCAAAAGCTTCTGCATGAAAACAAAAACCATAAGCAAAATTAAAAACAAATGAACAATTGTGAAAAATAAATATTTGTGACTCACATCTAAGACACTAATTTTCCTAACACATAAAAGAACTTCTGCAAATTAATAAGAAAAAGGCCAACAACCCAGGAGAAAATTGAACAAATGATAAGGACAGCTCACAGAAAAGAATATACAAAGGATTTTAAATGCATGAACAGAAGCTTAGCCTTGGTAATAATGAGAGAAATGAAAATTAGAACTTTATCTATTACACTGGAAAAAATTCAAGTCTGCCAATACACTATGTTGCCAAGGCTAAGGGAAAACACAGGCTCTTCGACATGGCTGGTGGGAAGTATACATGTGTGTACCTCTTGTCGAAGGCAGTTTGGCCATAACTATAAAAAGAACGTAAACTTTGACTGAGAAATTTTATTCCCATGAATTTATTCTGTAGATTTACTTCTAGAATTAAAGCCAATGCTCGGTGAGGGTAGAGCAGCTGATTGGTAGGGTGAGATATTTTTAACTGTCCCTTTTATATTTTGAACAATGTAAATGTATTAGTGTATTTGTCTGATCTCGCACTGCTAATAAAGACATACCCGAAACTGAATAATTTATAAAGGAAAGAGATTTAATGAACTCACAGTTATACATGGCTGGGGAGGCCTCACAATTACAGCAGAAAGCAAAGGAGAAGCAAAGTCACACTTTGCAAAGTAGCAGGGATGAGCTTGCGCAGAGTAACTCCCATTTATAAAACTATCAGATCATGTGAAGCTTATTGACTATTATGAGACCAGCACGGGGAAACCACCAACATGATTTAATTATCTCCACCTGGCCTTAACCACGCCATGATTTCATTATCTCCACCTGGCCCTACCCTTGACCTGTGGGGATTACTACAATTTAAGGTGAGATTTGGGTGGAGACTCAGCCAAACAATGTCAATTACTTTTGTAAAGAAATAATTTAATAAGGAAAACTACTAGCTCATCTTCCTGCCACAAAATATTGTTGAGAAATTACACTTTGCATATTTTAATAATGAAGCATTATTATTCTGATATAACATATCTAAAGCCATCAGTCAGAAATGCTCTGAATATTTTTCTTTGACAGTATCACTTAATGGTCGGGTGAAAATCAAGAACTTTTAACTCATAATTTTTTTGTATTCTTCTTCACTTTAGAACAGTCTCTAGGAATTGAGCATATTCCAAACAGTTAATGGAAAAATATAACAGTTGTGAGTGATTTATAATGTGGAAAAAGAGTAAGGTTTGAATCAAATTCTGTGGGTTTTAAATTTATTTACTTTTATATTTACTGTTTGCATTAACATCAAAATATAGACAGAAACACCTGACCAGTAAAAGACATAATTTTTCTAATAATCCTTTTAAGCATTATAAAACCATGCTCTTCATACAACATGTTCCCTGTGGTGAAAGAAAACAAATACATTCAATTCCCTTATGCATTAATTTAGTATCTAACCAAATTTTGACCTAATTTCACACAAGATTACTTTTCTTATTCCTTCAATGTTTGAATGCTAATTTCAAATGTATAGAAGTTTCCATATTAAAATAAAAAACTATCTGTTTTAGAAACAAACATATTAAGATAAACTTCATAACACAAAATTTCAGAAAAATTACAGTGTTAAGCATAAAAATGGTAAGCAGAACTGGAATAAAATATCAGATTGGGAAAGCCCTTTAGAAGCAAAAAAGAACATAAAATGATTGGATATAATATCTGTATTGTTCATT